CCCCAAAACCCCAAAACCCCAAAACCCCAAAACCCCATAGATCTAAATATGTATGATTTCAGATATTTAGGTGATTCTTACAATTTATAATTAACATATATAAATAGTTTACTTATAATCTTATTGTCGCTTCCCTATATAACTACAAAATCACTATGCTCAGTCTTAAAGTTCTCTGGCTAATTTTTCTACTTCTTCTGCTCGAGTTGTTCTATAGGCATGATGCTATTTTTTGGTTTTTTATCTCTGTATTGCTTGTTCCATAATTGATCTATTAGTTTAATTAGTACCCTTAGATTTTGTCTATTCTCTTTGAGATTGTATCCCATCTACTTCTTTTATAGTACGCTCAATGTCGATTGCTTTCATTTTTGTGCTGCCTTTAATGAAGGGTGAGCCTTCAAGCTGCGATGCAAACTCTTAAGGTACTTTTCCATTAGTAAAATCATGCATCTTAATTTTCTGATTTGGAGCAGGCTAAGGACCTGCTCGACTTTACTTTATAGGTAGATCTTCACCTTTGATCTACTTGTGTAGCTATAAATATATTTTCTTCTAGCTTCCCTTATCAAAAAGATTGATTCCCTATGTTTTCAAATGCTCTAAATCCCAAGAGGACTAGACGGCTGCCAATTTTACTGGTATATTTTTTGGAACTACTACTCCAAATACAATCTAGAAATAGAAGAATTAATTCACCTCTTGAATTATTTCAATAAAACTTACTCCATGCTTTCTTATTGCATTTTGGTGTCTGATCTCACACTCCATCATCTTTTACAGTATCCTATTTTTTTAATTTACGTTTCTTCTATGAATAAAGTAACACCATGTTACCAATATCACTACTAATAGGACAATGATAGAGACAAGAACAATGACAAATGTCATGCTATTCTTAGAGCACTCATCGGAACTGCCACATCTGGTGTCTTAATAGCAACAGTAATCACAGTTATCTAAGCTAACATTTATTTCCTTGATGATAAATTATTACAACACTAGGACTACGGCTTGCTGGGATCTCCTGAAATACCATTCTAGAGAAAGCGCCTAATATCTTCTTAAATATGAAAATTTTCTTTAAAAATTTAGCTCTCACTCAAATCCATTCTAGTATTATAATTATATTTTTAATTAGATTAATTACTGCTTTTTTCATTTCAAAATTGCTAAAAATCTGCAATTAATTCTCAGAGGGGTTTTGGGGTTTTGGGGTTTTGGGG